TGAGCGGCCAGCAGCCGCAGTGAGCGGCTGTCCAGAAGCCGGCGACTGATCTGCCTCGCCCAGGAAGAGCGCAATGATGGTGCCAAATTGGGCCAGTGAAGCAACGTCCTCCACAACTAGACTGAAGAACAAAATGACAGCAACTTGTCTGTTCCCCATCCTCCAATTCCCCAATAAAAAAAAAATAAAATAAATAAATAAATAAGTAAATAAATGAATAGGTTCCCCTGTGGGGTACTTCACATCTCTACGCTTCAGTTTCTCCTCCTATGAGACGTAGGTAGGAGGGAGATTGACTCACAGGATTATTCCGAGGCTTACTGACATGGAAGCATTCAATAACTATAAACCATGACAGCTCCGGCTTTTCAGTCGCTAAGTGCCTACTAAGCCCCCCCCCAGAGTGTCAGGCACTGGGGACCCTCCAGTGAACAAGTCCCAAGCCCTGGCCTTCGTGGGGCTTAGCTCAGCCTAGGTTGTACAGCCTAGCTCCACTGAACGGCCTTGGGTCCTCCGGAAGCTTCTGCTCCAGTCCCCTCCCCCTCACTGCCCCATGTCTAATTCCTAACTACTCTTCAGTTTCATCTTAGACATCATTTCCTCCACAGCCATCCCGAACCCTCTCTGACTGAATCAAGAGCTGTGCGAAGTACAAGCGCCCACATTTTACTCCTACCACAGAACCGCCAGCTTTATACTCTAATTGCCCACTGATACACTTACTTCATCATCAGGCTGTCTTCTAAAGGGTTCACTACTGAAACCTCAGTACCCAGCCCAGTGCTGGGCAGAGGAAATGCTATCTGCTAGAAGCATCGCTGAGGACGTGTGAGCCACCGCCCCGTGCGGAAGTCAGCGCCAGAACCTGTTTCCTCTCTGTCGTTCAAAGCTGCCCACACTAAGCTCTGAAAACAAACAAATCAAGCCCACACAAGTACATACCCCGAGGATTCTTTTTGTCTTTGCATCTTTCTTTGAATTCGAGGATGATTTTTTTCATAAGTTCATCAACAGCCGCATTGGAAGGTGCACACACAAGGACACGGTTTTGTTTGATTTTGGCGCTGGAGTTTTCATCGGAATGCCCCTTCCTCGGGTTCTATGGTTTGACACACACACCAAACAAATAAAAACCGCTGATGAGAACCAGTATGCAGTTTTATAGTTTTTCTCTACTTCCACGTATGTTTGAAAATTCCCCTTGTAAAGAGTTAAAAATAAAAGCATCTACAATTTTAGTGATATTAAAATTACTCTGGGCCAGCCAAGTGGCTCAGTTGGTTAAGAGCGCGAGCTCTGAGCAACAGGATCACCGGTTCAATTCCCACATGGGCCAGTGAGCTGCGCCTGAGCAGAGCTGCCAACAGGAGGTGGGATGGCTCAGCTGGTGAGAGCACGTGCTCCTAACAAGAAGGATGCCGGTTGGACGCCTGCATAAGATGGTGGGCTGTGCCCACCTGCAACTAAGATTGAACATGGCACCCTGAGCTGAGCGACCGCGAGCTGCCAATGGGCAGCCGGATGGCGACTGGACTTGGAGCTGTGCTAGCTGCGCTCTCCACAACTAAGACTGAAGGACACCAACTTGGGTGTTCCCCTCCCCCAATTCCCCAATAAAATCTTAATAATAAATATAAAATTACTCTGGCATGAAAATCTTATCATAACTTCTTTGAGCCTGACCTTACTATCCACCTATTTTACTCAATACTCAATCCAATCAAAATGTAGCCCAGGAAGCCACTCCAGACAGTCTCCTGGCATTCGACATGATCTATAATAACCTATAATAAAGCCAGGAGACCACCATTCTGGCCTTTGGGTTTAGTTTCACCCAAGACAGCATTTCCTGCTCTGTTTACTTGTTATAACCTTCTCTCCCTCTGCCATCCCCTTCACCCATAAAGTCCACATGATACCAAGGAGATACACAGAAGTAAAGGGAAAAGGCACGTTAGCACTTGTTGACATGCCAGTCAGTTCAAGTCAAGTTCCTGGATGCACTCGGTGAATGGCACGGATGTCCCCCCGGCAACTCTACCTCTGTCAGGAGGCGGTAGAGGAGGCCAACAATAGTTTTCGATTTTCCTGTTCCAGGTGGTCCATGAATCAGACAGATCTTGGCAACTGACGGGGATTGTTTCACCATAGCATATGCAGTTTCTATCGCTTTCTTTTGGTCTTCATTGAAATCTCTCAAGTAGGTAATCTATACAGAAGACATTAGGGAGAATGAGGTAGCCTTCCTGTAAAGATCAGGCAAGATCCCAAAGTGACCTTGAATCTAAAAACCATTTTCACGACTGGAAAGAAAATCTCTTATAACTGTCTGTAGACTTCAGCCCACCTATAAATACGACTGCATTTTTATTTATGAGCCTTATAAAGATAACAATAAACTGTCTATACTTTTCTTCTATTTATTCTTTGGTTCTTCCCATTTTAGTCAATTCTCTCCTTAGTAAAATCATTCCAAGACTTTCTTTCCTAACACATGATATAGTGGAAAGGGCATGGATTTTGGGTCAGATGAGTCGAAACCTCAGTTTCCCTCACAAGCTAGGTTTCTTAAACTCCTAACCTCCCTTAGCCTCAGCCTTTGTCATCCATTAAATCTGGGACAGGTGAGAATTGCCTGAGATAATGCATATGAAAACCCTAGCACACAGCAGGAGTTCAAAAATACGACTTTCCTTTTGCCTTTCTCTGTGTTAGCTTCCTGGCACTTGCACACAGCACTTACAGTGAGATACATGTCCACACATGTCACTTTGACAACTTCATCTTCGTACTTGCAGCCATACCACTCAGTTCTCCTACTCCTGAATTTTATGACCTAACCTTAAGCAGGCTGATCAGCCAACATTTCACTATTGCTCTTCAAGCATCTTTTCAATTCTGTGCTATTACCTTCCTCCTCACGAGGGCAGCTGGCTACGCTAACACACACTCTGCAATATGGATGAAAACCAAGCTAACGACATGAGTGAATGTGTCTTTGCGGCAGACGCCCACAAATGCAGAGCAGGTCAACACAGCATGGTGCCTCAACATCCCGCCAGGAGAAGTCCTGACTTTCCCCGTTAGCATCCAGTCATCACTCACAATTCTCTCCGACGTGGTAGTCAGTAAATCTTTTGTACAGAAGACCATGGGGTCTGGATTCAGGATAGCTCTGGCCAGCTGGTTCCGACCACTCAACAAAGACATGGCTTTCAACTTCCTTTGTGTAGTCACCAGAGAACTGATTACAATACATTTCACAAATTCATTTAGCTTGACTGGCAAATTATCTTGACTCTGGATGGAAAGGAAACACTCCGACTCCCCATTACGCACTATCACCAAGAAAGAGAAAAGGCAACTTCAGTTACCAGTGAATAACAGTGTCCAGCTCAAAAGGTTATTCAGAATTAGGCATCTTATATCTAGATTTTTGTTACGTGTGATTTAAATAATTCAGTAAATATTTACTAAACGCCTCCTAAGAACCAGGCCTCAATAGGCTTCTTTTTCAGGAGAGAGAGGCAGAGAACCAAATACACGTCAGGTGGTGCTAAGTAGGTGCTACAAAGAAAGCAGACAAACGGGGTGGGCAAAAGATGAGGGATGGAGGGGGTACTAATAGCCTACTGTTGACCAGGGCATTACCAGTACTATAAACAGTCGATTAACACATATTTTGTTGTTATATGTACTGCACACTGTATCCTTACAATAAAGCTAGGGAAAAGATGTCATTAAAAACATCATAAGGAAGAAAAAAATACATTTACGGTATTTAGTGGAACAATCCACGTGTTCAAACCCGTGCTGTGTAAGGGTCGGTTGTGGAGCAAGCACACGGCTGGAAAACACAGCTGAGCGGATCCGACGGCCTCTCCGATGCCCCACCATTCACTTACTGACTGAGGTGCGGCGGAACTTGTGGACGTAACCACAGTGATAGGCCTGGGGCTTCTGCAGGGCGTCTCTCTCCATGTCGTTCTCTCCACTCAGTCTTTCAGGAACCAAAAACACCAAATCATTCTCCTTTGGATGAAGCTGTTTAGCTAGTTCACATTCGTCAAGATAAACTATGAAACAATAAGAAGTCAGCATTTATTGTAACAGAATTATTTTAAATAAGATTAACTTAAAGGAAACTAAACCCTGTCCTAAGTTCAAGCACGTGTACAGCACTAGAGGACGTCGTCTATACTTCAAAATGGTAATCGAAGCCAGTCAACATTTTCAAATAGATTATACAATATCATAAAATGTTTCTTAAAAACTGCTAAAAAGCCAAAATAGACATTTGAAACTATACTTTGATAAATCAAGGATGCACACTAGAAGTTTTAATCTAACTACTAAAATTGCATAAGTATAAACTGAGGTATAGTTTCCAAAACAGGGAAGAAAAAATGAGAAGTGGTTTAAAAATAGGAAAAAATTTAAGTACTCAACCAAAACAAAAGGTGATGTCATATGTAATTATCCATTTGTTTCTAGTTTTCCTTTTACAGTTGGTTCTTTTTTTATTCACCTCTACTAATGTACTAGCTTGAGTTTCATATACAGAGAGGTCTCATAGACTAGTATGGTCCTCGCTAAGCAGCTCAGAGCTAATATAAAGGAGCCAGTTACAATGGATTGAAAGAGAAGTAGATTTAAATCAACGTATTTGAAATAATAATTTTTAAAAACCTCATTGGTCAACACCAGTGCTTGCAGTGAATTAACTCATTATTTTGAAAACTGGTCCGGAGTCAGGTACTTATTCTACCTTTCTTTATAAAGTATAACACTAAGTCAGCAAATAATATGGAGAAATTTCTCTCTATAGAACTAGTCCAGCTAATAAGAAATGATCAAATAAAAATACGACCATTTTGTGTCCTTTAGTAATCAGCCAAAGCATTAAGCATCAACAGCTGTAATGTTACAAAAAGAGAAATTAGACAGCATGAGCCTCCTGATAAAGGAAAATACCACCAACTATGAAATATTAATAGTTTGGCCAAAAATAATAAATCTAACTTGAATCTGATCAAACCTCTAGATCCAATTATCAATGTACAGGAAATGCAAGATAGAAAAACATACACCACCACCAGGGGGACGCAATCAGCAAAATCCAGAAGTGAGTAACTAGACAGGGTCAATGACCCAATTTCTTCAACAAATAAATTACGAAGAAAAAAACATTAATGAGAGCACTGTAGTTTAAAAAGACATAACAACCAGTGTCAATGAGTGAACGTAATTTGGATCTTAATTCAATCAGGATGAAAAAAATTGTTATTTATGGGGAAAGGGGAAACCTGAACAACGATTAGCTATCTGATATTATTGATAATATTTTAGCAATGAAATATTATTTTATTATGAAGTTTTTAGGTCTGTATCCCTTAGTAGTCACTGAAATAAAATTAAAAATGACAAGAAAAAAAATATCTAACCAAAGACAATCTGCCAAACCTCTCCACAGAAAACTAAAACATTATTGAAAGTAAACCTAAATCACTGAAGATATATACCTTACGCATTATTTAGAAAATCAATATTAGAAAGATGTCAATTCTTAGCAAATGTTCACTTTCTTTTTCTCTAAAATGACACTACTAACCAAGGCATTCTTAAGGCATACAACAAGGTAGGCAGACTTGGGCCCTGGCTATTAACGCTTCTTATAAAGCTAGACTAATTAATCAGGCAATGTGACAGATTTGGGCACAAGGGTGGGCAAATGACCCAATAAGAAATGAGTCCTGAGAAAGATCCATGCATTCAATGGCCACTAGATTTATGACAAATATGGCACTGCAGAGCATGGAGAAAAGATAGTCTTCTCAATAAACAGCACTGGGATAACTCCATCTTCATTTGGAAGAAAATTAAACATGATCCCTACATCTCACTCATGCACAAAAATCGACTGCAGGTTGATAAAATAACTGATGCTCCAGAAAAAGGGTTGGCAAACTTGTTCCGTGAAAAGCCAAACCTTTTCTTTGCAGGCCATGTATGGTGTGTGTTGTATATTCGTCATCTTTTTTTCAAAGCCCTTTAGCAATGTAAAAGCCTTCCTGCAGGGCAATACAAAACAGGATATGGGGGAGATCTGCAAACTGCGGTTTGCTGACACCTCTTCCAGATGTTTAAGATAATGTATTTACAACCTGCAGCAGGGAATAAAGGTTTCTTAAATGAGGCACAGAGCAGTAACCACAAAAAAAAACCCACAAAAAAAACCAAACCCAAGACATTTAACAGAAAATGAACAGGAGCCTTGAATAAGCACTTACCCAAAGAGGTTATTGCAGCATCTACTAAATATATGAAAAGGTGCTCAACCTCCCTGATTATTACAAAGGCTATTACAAAATAAAACCGCAAAAGGCCATCAGTACACACACACCAATCACTGAAATTCACGACAATCAGTACAAATGTATGGGTGAAGACGGGGGGTGACTTCTCACACACTGCTGGGGAATCAGGTTCGGCATTACCCACCCAAGCTGAATCAGGCATCCCCTGAGATTCAGCAATCCACTCTGGGCACAGACTCAACAAAAAAGCCCTCAAGAAAACACTAAGAGACACGAGAATGATCACAATGGTATTATCCATAAAACGCTGTAAGAGTTGACACAGCAGGTCTTCCTAGTGCATCACCCATCCTGGGGATGGTCTTGGGGAGCCCTGATACAGAGGTCAAAACTGCGGAAAAAAATGTCTATCAGCAGCAAAACTGTGATATATTCGTACAATGATACATTACCACAGCAATAAAAAAAACCAAACATGCACACAACATTGATGAACTACAGACATGTTAAATGCGATGTGATTCTATCATCCGATCAAGAGAAATGCCAGATAAATTAGTGATTTAAATATTTAAAAAATATAAAAATAGTGCAAGAAAATATAAAAGTATTGATCTCATTTCTAAGACCAAGGTCAGAACCATAAAGAAATAAATATGGTAGTTTTGAATATGTGAAGATAAAAACTGTCTCTGCCTCAAAAACTGCATGTGAAATTAAACAGCAAATAATGAAATTGAAATAAATATCATTACAATGATAAATACAAATTAAGAAGAAAACAACCTCCCTAACAGAAGGAAAAAGGGTATGAACAATTATCCTTGTCCCCCAAACTCAATAATACAAACGACCAGTAAACATCTGGGGACAAAAACCACAACCTCAAATGATACGCATTTTCATATATTAAAATTGGAAAAAAAGTTTAAACTAGCAAATGAGGGCGATGTACGCTCTTATATCCTATATGAGAAGTGAAATTGATATTCCTTCTTGTAGGCAGGGGCAGTATGAATCAAAAGTCTAAAAACGTGCATCTGTCTGACCTAGCAAAAAGATTTACTCAGGGTGTTCTAATAGTGAAAAGCTGTAAACAATGTACATGTCGAACTAAAAATGACTGGATAAGTGCGAGCTCTGAGCAACAGCGGTTCGAGTCCCAGCCCGAGCTGAGCTGCAGCTGAGCTGCCAACAGGTGGTAGGATGGTTCAGCTAAAAAAATTTTTTAAATAAAAAAATAAAAATGACTGGATAAATGGACTATGAAATCCACTTACAATGGAATAACTAATATTAAATATACTGTGATTATTTAATAACTCTGAAAAGACATCTACAATATTTTAAATGAAAATAAGTCAAATGCAAGCTTCATGAAGGCAGGAGTTTAACGTTTTCTTCACAGCTCCATACCCAGCATCTAGAGTCATTTGGTATCAGATGGTATATAAACAAAGCCAATAAATGCTTGCTGAATAAATGAATGGCCACAAAACAGGTAAAATGCACCCCCCCCACCACACACACACACACACACACACACACACACACACACATATAAAAGTCTGGCAGTAAGATATACACTATGTTCACAGGATTCTCTCTGAAAAATGGGAATTGTGGGCGATGTTTATATTACTGCTGGCTATTATTATCTGAATGTTCTACAATGAATATATAGTAACTTTCCCCCAAAATATATACATGTGTTTCTTTTCTGAGGTGAATCCATGGAGTAGGATGTTTTTTGGGGGGTGGGGGGTAGATTTATACTTTTTATTTTAAAGAGTTCTGAATTGTGGTTTATTTATAATTAATACATAAATGAGATATGTGTCTGACATATCAGGAAGATTTACTCAGAATCTATAAACACTATTATTACAACCCTCCCCACCCCTTCCTGGTCAGGCCCCTTCACTCACCCTCTCTTCCCATGTCCAGCTTCCATGGACACTCCAGCCTGTGGTTTTCTAATTACATAATGGTTAAACTATACATTTTATATTTATAACTGTCCCAGTATTTACCCTCATTAAGACTTTAACACTCTTTGTTAGAGGTTATAAATTCAGCTTAGGAAACGGATGTCCCAGAAAAGTCAAACAATGATAATGTTTCCTCAAATAGAAATCTCGGGGGCCGGCCGAGTGGCTCAGTTGGTTAAGAGCTGGCTTGGGACACCAGAGGGCCCTAGTTCGGATCCCACATATGAGGGCCAGTGACACTGCCCTCCACAGCTAAGATGCTGAACAACAGCTCAACTTGGAGCTGGGCTGCCGTGGGTCGCTGGCGACGGCGTAGGCTGCAGCCCCTGCTACAGTGGGTTGCCAAGGGCTACCGTGTGTGGCCAGCAGCCAGCGTGAGCGGCCGTCCAGAAGCCGGCGACTGATCTGCCTCACCCAGTAGGAGTGCAATGATGGTGCCAACTTGGACCAGTGAAGCAATGTCCTCCACAACTAGACTGAAGAACCAAACAACAGCAACTTGTCTGTTTACCTTCCCCCAATTCCCCAGTGCTGTTCCCATCCCCCAATTAAAACAAACAAACAAACAAGCAAACAAAAAATAGAAATCTCCGATTATTATATGGTATGTCCAAGTTACATTAAGAAAGAACTTACCTACAAACTCCCAATATTTTTTATAATCTGCAGGATATTTTCGTAAATGCAGCTGATGGAATTTTTCTTTATTTGGAGAGCTCATCCATTCCTGGGCCACCTATACAAAGCAATAAAAGCAAATTAAGAAAGCAAACACATTCTGGGAAGCCAATACTAAACCGCAATTTTCCAAAGTAAGCAACAGTAAAATCCAGAACCTAGAATCCCAGGTGACAGCAACATTAAAAATTAATTTGGGGGCCGGCCGAGTGGCGTGATGGTTAAGAACTGGCTTGGGATGCCAGAGGGCCCCGGTTCGGATCCCACATTTGAGGGTCAGTGACACTGCCCTCCACAGCTAAGATGCTGAACAACAGCTCAACCTGGAGCTGGGCTGCCGTGAGTTGCCAGCGTTGGCGTA